ATAAGACAGTGTCTTATTTTTGGGGAAACACGGTACTATAATTAAATAAAATTCTTTAAAATAGCTGTTTCTCCAAAACTTTGTTTCAATTTGAAATGAAGAATTTGATCTGTTTTGTCCTGTGCTTAAGAATTACCCTCAAGTACTTTAACTGCAAACTGGTAGTGGACTGCTTGCACTGGATTGCAACTCATTAGTTCTGCAGTCATTCAGATTTCTTTTTCACTCTGGCGTCCTTTGTTTTCTGAAAGGTCAGAAACGTTGTCTGAAGTGCCACCAAAACTGTAAGAAATGTAACGGGGAGATGGACAGATGCACTGTTTGCAAAGACGGATTCAGGTAAAGTATGGATGGAAATGTGATGTTAGATTGTCAACTTTTATGGTAGACATTTTCTGCAAAAGCTGTTTATTCATTTATATTCCACATTTCTCCCCAAAGTGGCTCACAACATTCTTTTTTTATCCTCACCAAAACAAACGGTGAGCGTGCAACTGGCCCAAGGTCGCTCAGCAAGCCTCCATCTTAGTCTTGCCCAATCCCTGCTGTCTCTCTCTAAACATAACAGCAATTAAAAACATAAACAGGAAGGAGAAATGCCAAGAAAAACAAAAAGATGTCCTCTCATTGGCAGATGGTAATGATAGAGGGAGACATTATTGGGCGGGAGAACCTACAGCTGTACCCCTTGTCAAAGAAGAGTCCTGTCTGATCAGATTAACATTCCATCTTGAGTCAGCAATGATCAAATACACTCTGGTTTAAGATGTTTCTCTTATCTCAGCTTTTTGTGATGTCTGAATTCAAGGCCGATTCCTCACTGCGGAGTACTTGTGGCTAGGGATGGGCAAGAACTCGAAAAATGCAGTTGGTGTCGGTTCGTAGCTGAATCACGAACCAGGAGGTTCAGTCGCGAACCAAACCGGTTTGTGGTCCCACAAACCCTTTTGAACTTTAAAAGGACTGCAGAAGACAGCCTGAAAATAAGTGAGCAGCGAAGAGGCACTTCCCACCACTCAGCTGTTTCAGGCTTTAAACTTTACAGGGACTGCACAAGACAGCCTGAAACAGCAGAGCAGCAGAAAGTGCCTCCCCACCGCTCAGCTGTTTTTGCAGCTTTCTCCGGGAACAGAAAGCAGGAGGTTAAAAAGACTCTGAGTCCCTTTAACATGACAAATCTTGCTTTGTGGTTCAGTTCATGCCCATCCCTACTGGTAGCTGCCTGAAGTGTTTCTATCAGATGTGTACTGGGAAGTCCATGTTCAAGAACTTAATTGCTAGACACGTGCAGGCTAATTCATATTGGAACTGCGGCACATGAAGAGAGAGGGGGCTTAAGCCTTCTCCCTGTGCTGTTTTCCCAAACTGAAACAGCCCTCAGGAGTTGCTGTTTGCTCTGTTGGGGAGATTTATGTGAGTATGCAGGTTTCCTGAACAGGTTAAATAGTGGCTCCACAGGGGATATTTGTTTATTCATTTACTTAATTTATAGCCCACCTTTCATGTTGAGACTCAAGGTGGATTACAGAATAAAAAACAATGCAATCCAGTGAATGATGCAATCAGACTTATTGTGTGCCATCAAATTGCAGTCGACTCATGGCGACCCAACGACCATGGGGTTTTCAAGTCAAGAGATGATTGGAGGCCATTTCCCAGTGCCTTCTTCTGCTTAGCAACCCCAGTCTTCCTTGGTTGACTTCCATCCAAGTACTAACCACAGCTGACTCTACTTAGTTTCCAAGACTGGGCTTGTTGTTGTTGTTGTTCAGTCGCACAGTCGAGTCCGACTCTTTGAGACCCCATGGACCAGATCACGCCAGGCCTTCCTGTCTTCCGCCATCCTCTGAAGTTTGCTCAACTTCATGTTTGTTGCATCTATGACACTGTCTAACCATCTCATCCTTTGCCGTCCCCGTCTTCTTTGACCTTCAGTCTTTCCCAGCATCAGGGTCTTCTCCAGTGAGTGCTCCCTTCTCATATGGTGGCCAAAGTATTTGAGCTTCAGCTTCAGTCTCTGGCCTTCCAGGGAACAGTCAGGGTTGATTTCTTTTAGGATGGACTGATTTGATCTCCTTGCAGTCCAAGGGACTCTCAAGAGTCTTCTCCAGCACCATAGTTCAAAAGAATCTATTCTTTGGCGCTTGGCCTTCCTTATAGTCCAACTCTCACAGCCATACATGACTACTGGGCTAGCCTGGACCATTTCCTGTCTTCAACTTTCCTTCTTTCTCTCCCCCAGCAACCTCTCCCCAGGAAAACTATGGGCCAGTTCGATGATGCCGACTGAGCTGAGCCCATTTGTATCAGGGAAATCTGCAAGGACTTGTGAGAGGCACCTCACTTTGTCCTGCAGCCCCACCACACACCCTCATCCTAGCAGTTCCTATATCCTCACCTTTCCTTTCTGTCCTTCACACCCACCCACCAATCTATGTTTTATCTGCTGCCCATCTTATTTAGTTACTTCATTCATGCATTTACTTCATTCATGTCCTGTCTTTCTGCACGATGGGGACCTAGGACAGCTTACATCATTTTCTTCTCCTCCATTTTATCCCCATGACAACCATGTGAGGTAGGTTAGGCTTAGAATGTGTAAGTGGCCCAGGGTCACCCACTGAATTTCCACAGCAGAATGGGGATTTGAGGTTCCAGTCTGAAACTCTAACCCCTACACGCACTGACTTTCAAAGGGTGGCTGCTGTTGAACAGTAGCAAGCAGCCAGGCAGTTCTGGTGGTATCAAGTTGCTTGGTGGTTGCTGCCGGACCTGCCTCAAAGGCCAAAACAGCCTCAGAAAGGGCCCTGCCCCCTCCCCTTGCCTTTTACTCACAGAAACCAAGCCTGGAATGCTGGCCAAACTGTTGTGGTTGCCTAGCAACAGCCACTGAGGGCTTCTTATTAAAGCTACAGAAACTTCTTTTAATGTTTTGGGGTTTCTTTTTAGATTTCAGATTTTTCTGCAAACCTGAAGCATTTTGCAGATTTGTCACATCTGTATTGTCTGTTCACCACTCCAGTCTCTAGATTTAGATATCCTCAGATGGGGCCACACTTTGCTATTAGAATATACAACTGGGGGCCCAACGAGACTCACAGGGAAAAATCCCACCCCTCCCATCGTTGAGCCTGTTACAGCTCCAGGGTTCTCTACCCACACTTGAGCCCAGCCACAGCAATGCCTGGGAACTGCTCCAAGATGGCTGCTATGTATGGCATGGTGTGATGGATACAGTCTTAGATTAGGATCCTGGGAGACCTGGGTTTGAACCCTCACTTTTACGACAGAAGCTCACTTGGTGACCTTAGGCCTGTCGCTGTCAGCCTGGCCTACCTCACCAAGTGGTTGTTATGAGAGAATGGAGGAAGAGAGAACCAGTGGTATACCTAGCCTGTTTGGCACCCGGGGTGGATAATTTTTTAAGACCCCCCCACACCTCAATTTTTTTTAAATCTCAAGTCAAGTTCAAGTTAGCCTTTATTGGCATAAATTGTCAATACAGATTATACGATTTAAGAGCAGATTGAAAACACACCTATTAAAAATACTATATCTCTAGATTGTATAATTTAAGAGCAGGTTAAACCAAACCTATGAAAATACTATGTCTCTGGGGTCCTTTGGCGCAGCTTTAAAGCAGAGTGGAGAAACTTGGCCACCTTCTCAGTGATGTCAGAACAGAAATCATTCAGAAGTCTGTGTACCTTAAATGCATCAGGGCAATGCACCATGCTGCTTAAAGTAGAATGCAAATATATATATGCCTTAGATCCATATACAGGTGACAATGCAGAAGGACATGAGTAATTAACTCAACACAACTTTGTTTGCAGGGGCAGAATCTGGCTGCGATATCTTGTTAAATCTGCCATATAGAATGGTGGAAGGCATAGCATTGTATCTGGCCAGAGTAAACGCTCTGCTGTGTTGTGGGACTTGCAGGGAAGATAAATATGAGGCCATCATAGGGGTGTGTAAAAAAACCCACTTGGCATTTTTCAGGTTCGGGTATATTGAACCCCAAAAATATTGGTATTTCCTGATGTTCTGGAATCCCAATATTGGTTATGGTATTTGGATTTGGGAATTATTCGGGAAACCCAAAATGTTTTTTGCGTCATTATACCCTATGGGGACCAGTATAGGCAATGCTTCCCATAGGGTATAATGGAAAATCGATCCAGGGGTATCTGGGGCTCTGAGGGGGCTGTTTCTTGAGGAAGAAACACCGAACAGCTGCCGGTGCCTCTCCTCAAAAAAACACTTTAAGTCTCAAAATGATTGGACCAGGGGGTCCAATCCTATGGGCCCTGAAAGAAGGTGCCTCCATCCTCCATTGATTGCAATCCCTTTAAATGCAGAGTCACATGGCTTGGAGAACTCCAAAGGGCTTGCAGTCCCATTTAATGCCTTGCAGGTGAACTCATCGGCCCAGGAGTGGCCGGGGCAGCGGGAGGTCTCAGCTCCGCACGGCCCCATTTGATCCTCTCTTGTAGCTCAGAGCTGCGAGGGAGGATCAGGTGAGGCGGTATGTCGCTGTCAGCTCCAGCCACCCGGGCCGATCCTGGGCTGGGGGCTGGGGCTGGCTCACCTGAATAATACACCCAAATAAAAGCTGGAGAAAAAATGGCTTTTTTTCGGGAACGGCTATATCAGTAGCCGAATACAATCTGTATCTGTATTTGGCTTAAATAATACCCCAAAATACTGATAAGGTATTTTTTGGGGGTATTTTTCCAGTTCGGCTAATGCAGAACACACGGCTCCACCGCCTCACAACTGGGAGGGGGAAGCCTAGAAGTCACTTTTGCCAGAGAGATTTTGCCCAAATCCAGTGTGCACTGGAAGCGACGTTGCCATGTTGCCAGTGATGTCACTGAGAAACTGATCCATGGCAGGGGGGCGGGGCCCAGGGTCAGGGGCTTGGCAACCCTAAAACCAAAGGTGGAAAACATGGAGAAAAACAACAGTTAAAACGGTGCAGGAAGGAGGGAACTCCAGAAGAAACAAAAAGTTTTCAAAATCCAAAGCTTTAAGAAATATAAACCTATATAAACCTGTTATGTACCAACTCCCAGCCAACCTCCGTTCACTGTGAAGAAATCTGAGTTTTCTCAATCTTGGGAACCTCTTCTCTTCATCCCCCCAGCTCCCATGATAAGCTTCAGCAGAAAGAATTTCTCTCCCTTAAACTGCTCAATGTGCCTTTTGATTCAGATCTCTTGCATTTGGTCTGTTTGGAAAGGAGATGGTGAAAGTCACTAATGGGTCAGGTGGGGGGGAGCAAATAAATATGTTTACGTTGAATCTTATAAAGCGCACCTTTTCTGGCCAAC